TCTAAAAATCTAAAATCTGTTGCCAGATTTCTATTACTTTTTCATTCTTCAATCATAGACTTAATTAACTTTTCGTATTCTCTCTGGATTTTACATTTCTTAAATTTAATAATTTTTGTTCATACCAATTTTTAATGATGTATTTCTAATTCCCTATTAAGCGTTACTTTATACTTACAAATTTATCTTAACATTCTGGTGATAATAACCTCAGCTTAGTATGTAAACAATGATTTTTATTACAATATATCTATCGATATCAATTCCTTAATTCTTGGTCCGCTAGACGGTGATTATTATAATGAATTACAGTAATATGCAATACACTTTATCTCGATATTTATCCACCTCACTCTTACGTTTATTAGTCACTGGTCTCGCGCTTTAATAAATAAATAATAATAATAATAAACGGTTTATTAATAGAGTTGCAGCCGGTGGCTGAAAATATACAGACTTACATTTGATTTAGACAATGATATAATATGCATTGAATACATTTACAGGGCTGTACAGTACATAAATCAGGAGTTGTTTATTATTTTAACAATAGATGGGATGGTGCTGTTCTTATATCTATCGGTGCGGGCTCTTATGGGCTGAATTTTGTTGTAGTGGCGGACTGCTCTAGTTGGGTGGGGGGCTGCCGGTGGCAGGAGGTGGTGATGACGAGGGTGGTGCATTAGTGTGTGTGTGTGTGTGTGTATGTGTGTCGTAATTAGCTTTAAGTCGATACCACACAGCTCATACACGGGATCATTATTTGGGTGATGCGAACTTCGGGTCTTACTGTCCTTGAAATTGAGTTAATCACAGGAAGGAACAAGAAGTGAGAGGCTACTCCTAAGTAATGACAACACCATCACTTACACGAACCAGTTACACGTATACTGAGGTGGGTGTCATCCTTATCACTATGTACAGTATATGGAAACAAAACTGTACACAACGTGATTTTAGACATTTACGATAACCGACTGTAGTGAATAATTCATCTTGAGTTCAATAACACACGAGACAGTAAAAATAACCTTTTGTAAAATAAATAAATAACGAAGAATAACAGCGGAGTTGTTCATTGTGTACTAATATACAACATAACACTAAGACCACAACGAAACAGAGAATATAATAAACATGAATAACACATACCGAGTCTTCTGCAGGTGTTGAGTTGCTCGGCTGAGGGTTCATCTCACCTGTGGAAATGAGAAGGAAAATAAAGATGATGTTTGTGTTTTATAGTGGGATAAAACTTTACTTATACATACCCTTAACAAAATAATTTTTCACATACAACCGATTCCTAATTTACGCTATCACTAAAATGTTAACAAAGCAAAACACACTGTCAGCAGGCAAATAACCGATATCTCTGTGCTATAATCCTAGGAGAAATGTAATGTCTGTGTTATAATCCAAAGGAAATAAAGTGTGTGTGTGTGTGTGTGTGTGTGTGTGTGTGTGTGTGTCAGCAGAATGAGGTCAAGTCTTTGAGCCGAACACGAGTACAATAATTATAATAGGAGTCACTTTACCACAGTGTTATTAGCGGACGCGTTTATGGGTTGATGGCATCCAGGTGACACACTAAGCAGCTTCCCAGGTCACAGGTGTGTTGACATTTAATCTAACAAGCTGCACCTACTTTCACACCTTTTTGCACGTCTAAACACACACACACACACACACACACACACACACACACACACACACTTTATTTCCTTTAACCTACAAACTTCTTCACTATCATCACTGCCCTGGTTGTGAGCGTCACCATTGTCAGTAACTAACATCACCATCACTACCACCATCCCCACCACCTCTACATCAACCCCACCATCACTACACCACCTCATCCCCACCATCACTACACTACACTACACTACGGGAGTGAGGAGGTAAAAGGACTCATGAACCTAACGCTAATGAAATACTTCTTTTTTTCACCTCGTGTGTTTACATTTGATCACAGGAAACAGGCGACTCACGTGGCGCCGGACCTCCACCTCACTCCTCAAAACACACCCAATTTGGGATCTACAAATTGGTCAAAAGGATCCATTTCCCAAGGTAAACTTTTGATCGCAGACGTGGGTGTTTGGGATGACAGAGAGAGAGAGAGAGAGAGAGAGAGAGAGAGAGAGAGAGAGAGAGACATACATATGTGTTGATGTGCGGGAAGAATGTGTGTGTGTGTCTGTATGTATGTATGTATATGTGTATGTATGTGTGTGTGTGTTGTAATAGAAAAGTAGTAATCTGGGAACACAACAGTAAAATAATAATCTTCGGCCCTACATCTTTACTGTTCGAATGGATGAAGAAGACTACCACACAAACTGTTCAACAAATCCGTTTTCTAAGGACAGAAAACGCATCATCGCTCATGGCATTATAAAAAACAATATATATTAGGATTTCTTGATTCATTAGCAGTTGGTTGTAATTTGTTTATTTTAGAGAGTGTATGAATGAGGAAATATAAATCAACATTAAGTGATAGGAGCCAGAGACATCAAACTTAAATAATAGTTCCCCCTCCACAATTTTCTTTGGTAAGTGTTCGTGGGATGACTTGATACACAGTCCAAGATGTAAACAGTGACAGATATCTCTGATGATGAAGGAATAATTATTATTTTACGTGATATATTTCCTTAACCAATTTCCTACGCTTTGACTTTATTGATTTTACAGTCCAGGTTCGGATGCCAATTAGGAAGCTTTGGTAATAATTACATTGTTCATTGTAATTGTTTGCCAGAGATGACGATTCTCATATGGGACGCTAAATAAAAAAAAAAAAAAATGATGAGACAAACAACAACACAATTGCTTACGGGCTCAAATATGGCGCTACAATATTAATTTGCCATTAGTCCAACTGTGAGCAAACGGTGCCCAGGGTGTTAGTTATCCGTGAACTACGAGTTTTGTGCAAGATAATGGAGGATTTTTTACCTAAGATGTACACCTTGGCATCCTTTCATACTTATATATCTTGGCCTGATTCACCAGTCTGGCTGCACACAATTGTCATCACAGCTTAAAAAAAACAGTTCTTCAACTTTCAGGTTCAGTCTGTATCAAATGAAACCTTTAGAAGGCAATGTATCCCTTAGGTATTATTTTCCGGCTAACACCAGACTATTTTATTCAGCTGAAAGAGACCCTAACTTCTTAAGGGCTAAACCTAGAATTTGGCTCAGCCTGAACTGGGCATCAACAGCAAGGTCGTCAGTTGGTTACTATATATAAAGCACATTGCATATTTAACTCTCAGAGCAGGAAGCAAAACTCCTCAGTCAGATGTTTCAAAGATCCACTGAGTATTAACAATTACTCACTGAATCTTCAAGTTACTGATGAACGGACCAGCTCGCTAATGCACTGTGCCACTGACTCGCTATTCTAGTATTTTATTAATCCACTGATAAACTAACCCACCGATTCACTACCTATTCCACTATTTTACTGAATCAAGATTTTTTAACTCACTTTACTATTATTTCCTTGATACACTGACCCATTGATCCACTAAGTTAACCTTCATACTGATCCATTTACCCACTGATACACTGCTTCGTCAATCCACTGAGCTATTAATACATTAGTCTGTTTATCCAATTATCTCCTCTTTCACTGAGTTCGTAATTATCCGGATGAGTAAGTAATGGTGAACAGTATTATCGCTGGCCTGACATAACACAACACCAGGAGAACTCGAGTGAATGGTGAGAGAGAGAGAGAGAGAGAGAGAGAGAGAGAGAGAGAGAGAGAGAGAGAGAGAGACTTTAGCGTTTATAGAAAGCGATCGTTCTAACAGTTGTTGTGACCTGGCTCGATCGTTCTAACAATTGTTGTGACCTGGCTCGATCGTTCTAACAGTTGTTGTGACCTGGCCCGATCGTTCTAATAGTTGCTGTGATCTGGCTCGCAAGGCTATGTGGACGTATGCAAATCAACAGGAAGCAGTATGATAAACGCTCTACGATTCATTCGATTTAGATGTTGAAACTAAATACTTCGTTACCAGACACCTTTCAATGGGTGTTATAGACGGTGTTGTGTTACAGAAAATGTGAAATGGACACTACAAAATACATAAAATAATGACACAGAACGTAAGCTGTTTAATATAAGTTAATGATTGAAAAATAGTCATAAATTTCTTGCTATATTTAGTAAATTATATACAGCACTAGAATACACGTTGTTAAGAAATAAGTTACAAGTACAATTTACTCCACTACATACAGAATAACACGCTCACCAGTTTGTTACGTTACTGACCCGCTGTTACACTTCGCCTTACCCCCAATCTGTGTAAAAGGTGGGAACTGTTCTGATCTCACGTCATTTTTGGGGTAATTTATTCAATCTGTATTTATTATTATGAATTTATTTCCCGACGATTAGATGAGATATAACAGGTGCAAAATCTTATCATGTAAGAGGCTTTCATGATCTGCCCAACACCATTAAGTCACCTGACATATTTATAGAATATTTCCATCATGGCCATATCAAAAAATCTCATAACATCAACGATAAATATCTAACATTATCTCCACTGGCCAACTACGGTAATTCAGGGTTAAATGAGCATTAGCATTCCCATAAGGACCTTAAGGTATTTAAACCTTGAACTGTAGATAAGAAGTGGGTGCTGATAGAGAGACAGATGACCAGAGCTCGCAAGTTGGACATGAATTCCTGTGGTGGCTAACCTAACCTAACCTAACCTAAGCTAACCTCGGTACATGACAATCTATCGTGTTCATGACGGCTCTCATTTGTTCGAGAAATTATTTATTGTGGTGTAGATTCAGTAAAGGAGTATAAGCCAACTTAAACCAAATTATATTCGTACTTTACAACCATTATTAAACATGTTTTAGAATTTAGTCAAGATACTATTCACTGCACCTTTACAGATGGTAACGAACATGAAGTATTATTATGTTCCAAGATAAGACAAACTTAAGGGTCTTTACGTGATAGGTCCTGGGTTCGAAGTAGCAGCTGCGGTGATCACAAGGTCTGCTCCCTCATACACGTCCAGCTGTTCCGGGGGCTTGGCTAGCCAGATGGGAGAGTCTGGCCAGGGGTAAAGAAGAGGAAGATTAAGTAAATGCAACGGAAGGCAACTGGTACAAGGAATGAAAATAAAGAGACTGGTGTGGTGAGGGAGAAAGCACTAGAAAGTAGTATTGAGGGGAATAATGAAAGAAAAAAGAAAGAGAGAGAGAGAGAGAGAGAGAGAGAGAGAGAGAGAGAGAGAGAGAGAGAGCAAGATATTTCGAGAATCAGAAAGGGTTAACGGATAAGGAAGGAAGTGAGAACAATATATTTAAACTGGCGGAGATAAATAATTTAACAGGGAGAGAGAGACAGAGGGAAAGATTTAGACAGAAAGAGAGAGACAGTGAAAACGGCAGAAAGAGAGAGAGAGAGAGAGAGAGAGAGAGAGAGAGAGAGCAAACAAATTAAAAAACTAGAAGAACTCCTAAGTTAAAAAACATAAACAGTAAAGGAGGAAACTGGAAACTGGGTTAGAAATGGAACAGAAAAAAGATGGAATATTCAAGTAGATGATGACAGACAACAGTAAAAGCACACACGAGGAAAAACAACACCATAACACCTGCGCTATAAGTAACTCCTGTGCTATAAGTAAAAGCTGTGCTATAAGTAACACCTGTGCTATATATGACACCTGTGATATATGTAACACCAGTGCTCTCAGTAACACCTGTGCTATATGTAGCACCTGTGCTATAAGTACCACCTGTGCTATATGTAATACCTGTGCTATGTAACACCTGTGCTATATGTAACACCTGAACAAAGAAGACTAAAACAATTAAGACAGGTTAATGAGAGTTAGGTAAGAGTTATCATCTGTAAATCAAAGGAACAAAAGGTAAGTATAAATTAGTATATAAACCTGATAGGAAAAATAATCAACAATGGAATATATCAACTGTTAATTAATTATCACCCTTATTCAGTTGGAGCTTAAGGTGATTTTTAAGTTCATTGTGTGGACCAGAAGGTGAATGCATGAGACGTATATCTCAGAAATGGAGAAATTTGAGAGAAACTGTGAGCTATTATATATCAATTATATAATGGAAGGAAGTACTCACAAGGTGATTTTGGTTGAATTATACGAAATGGTTAAGAATCGTTATTTTTTGTTTATTAAATGCAGCTCTAAAGCATATCGGAATAATTTAGTTCACTGTTTTTGTGTTTTTAGTTTCTTGTAACTCAAACTTTTATTCACGGGTATATTTTTGTTTGTTTCATTTCCTAGTCTTTCATGTTACAGCGTGTAGCTAAGGTGTCAATTTTATGTATATGTTCACCAGTCGACGGTGTTAGTCTCAGTATTTTTCATATTTGTTCATTCTACTGTAATTACTATTCCATATAACATCATATAGTAATTTCAGAAAGAGTATTACAGACATACACACAAACACGACTTCAGGTACAGACACAAGTGAAAGTAATAAGTACAGGCACAAGTAAAAGTAATAAGTACAGACACAAGTAAAAGTAATAAGTACAGACACAAGTAAAAGTAATAAGTACAGACGCATGTGAAAGTAATAAGTACAGACACAAGTAAAAGTAATAAGTACAGACACAAGTAAAAGTAATAAGTACAGACGCATGTGAAAGTAATAAGTACAGACACAAGTAAAAGTAATAAGTACAGACACAAGTAAAAGTAATAAGTACAGACTCAAGTAAAAGTAATAAGTACAGACACAAGTGAAAGTAATAAATACAGACACGAGTAAGAGTAATAAGTACAGACACAAGTAAAAGTAATAAGTACAGACACAAGTAAAAGTAATAAGTACAGACACAAGTAAAAGTAATAAGTACAGACACATGTGAAAGTAATAGGTACAGACACAAGTGACAGTAATAATAAGTACAGACACAAGTGACAGTATTTATAGCTACAGATATGAATAAGAACAGGTTGACACCCCTTAAGACAGACTGTAAACACCTACAGCACACACCCTTTACAACTGACGTACACCCATTGTTTACACCGTGTTGAACGGTGTTGTAGGTGTGATGATATACAAGGTAGGAAGGACAACACTACCGGTTACACACACAGCGGGTATACTGCCTCACCTCTAAGCCATGTGGCAAGGAGACTCATTCCGTAAACCTGATTATCTTAAAGGTGCGTTTACCATACACCCCCCCCCCCCTCTCTCTCTCTCCCTCTCTCTCTCTCTCTCATCTTGCCCCAGCCAGCTAGGGGAAGACTCATGACCATTAGGGAAGAAGGACCAGCCAGCAACATAACACCACTTTTTTTACTAATGAAAATGTCCCTCAAGTTGATTTGTGAAGTGGGATTGATTTAAGAGGGATTTAGGATTTTTGTTCTTGATGTTTACGAGAGATCAGGGATTTATTTGTTGAGAAATATGATAATTAATTTACGAGATATTTGTGGTTAATTCTTAAAAGATTTAGGGATTCATTTGAAAGTGACGTCGGATTTTTTCTTCATTTGTGAGTGACGTCGGATTTTTTCTTGAGAGATTTAAAGATTAACCTATAAAATTCCAAATAATCCCAGTAGCCGAGTCTTTATGAAATATTTAAAGAAAGTAGATGTACGAATTAACGAGGATTTAATATTTCTCTAAAGTGGATTTGAGGATTTATGTAGAAAATAGGTGATTTATAATTACAAGAGGATTAAAGGATATGTTCAAAAAAGATTTAAGAATTATTTCAAAAGTTTATAAGCTTATTTTTTTAAAAGTAATTGATAGGATTTATTTAGGAAAAAAAAGGATTTATTTACAATATGTTTTAGTGAATTTACGCACAGAGATTCGTGTCACTGTCGGCTGTAGAGTTGTCTTTAACAATGTAAATATCTCTGTCTCAAACTATATATATCACGGCAGCTGAACTCAACATACATAGTATATAACTTAAGTGTAAATGCAAATTATAAAAAAAACAAAACAAGTTGCTTCATTTTTTACTCTCTAAAGAACAAAGGTCAAAGGCCAAGGTCACACAACTCTGTTAACTAAATAACCACGTCTGATGGGCCGATTCCCAAACCAATGAGAGGAAAGTTTCATTTGAAAAAAAGAACATAGCGCACGAGAGACAAATGTTATAATGTCATAGTAGAAACAAAACGATTTTTATTTTTAACACATATGATCGTTTCGCCTGAGACTGGTTCAGCGAAATCAGCCAGTCAGATACCTTCGTTCCTCCTCCAGATGTTACCTGAGTTACTTGTTTCTTATATATACGACAGCAGTGGTAGCAGTTTTTTTTTTAGGTAGAGATGAGAGAACAGTAACAGCGAGTGAATATATAAACTTGAAGCTCCTGGCGAAAGAACCGAGAGGATGGAATAAATGAAAATACACAATAGAGTTTGAGGGAAGACTACGCTTGGGATATGAGGAGGGAAGTATGCAAAGAAGCGAGAGAGGAGCGTAGGAAGGGGGATAGGAAAGTGCATGCTAAAACAGATATAAGACTTGACGAAGCTGGTGATTAAGAAGAGTGAAGATAACGTATGTGGAGAAGGTGAAATATAGAACACAAGGAGACTGACTGTATGGTGTGTAAATTAAATTCTATATAAAAATGGTGACGAAGTTTACATTTTTTTTTTGTACGAGAGAAATTATGAAATAAAAAGGGGGATTTTAGCAAGAGAATTGGCGTCAAAAAGATGATAAATAAGTGAGATAATGTTGAAAAATTAAGATAACACACACACAGGTACGCACGCACACACACACACACACAGGTGTACGCACACACACACACACACAGGTACGCAATGCACACACACACACACACACACACACACACACACACACACACCATACGATAAAAAAATGATGACCAAAATAATGCGGAGAAGACGGAAGAAATAAGAAACACAAATATAAATGAGAATATGTGAAAATTCATACGAAAAAAAACGAAAAAAAAAGAAAGATAAAGCCCATACAATTAGACTTAACGAAAGGAATGAATAAGAGAGAATTGAGGCAATGCATAAAAATGTATAAGAAAAACAACATAGCTTAAACATGAGATAATAATTATGAGAGTTTTGGAAATGAATTCAATTTACACAACAAACCCTTACGAATAATAAATTAAGTTTATGAAGGAAAAAAAATAGACCAAAACATTAACTTTTACGAAAGACAAGCGAGAGATAATGCGATAAACGTAGCGAATAACAAAGGCGAAATATGTAAAACAGAGGAGATTGGTATAATAAATAAGGAATATAAATGAATAGTAGTGGTAAATGGAATGTTTAATACGGAAGCCGGGGGAAGAAAGATGAGGAAGAGAAGCAGGAGGAGGAGGAAATGAAGAAGGAAGTGAGGCAGAAGATGAAAAAAAGAAATGGAAGGAGATGGAGAATGGGCAGTAGGGGAAGAGAAGGAGGAGAAGAAGAAAGAGGTGTAATAAGGGGAATTAATGATGATGATGAGAAGGAAATGAAGAAAAGAAGGAGGACAACGAGATACAGAGGAAGAGGAAGTGGAGAGGAAATGGAGGAGAGAAGGAGGAAGTGAGAGAGAGAGAGAGTGAGTGTACAAAACCACTAAGTAGTCATCTATTATATTAACAACGACATATAACAAGGAGAGGCATGAGTGAGAGGGAAAAGGGAGGGATGCTGTGAGAAATGAGAGAGGCTATTGATAAAAATGAGAGGGATATGGGTGTTGTGAGAGGGGTACAAATAGGAGTGAGAGGGAAGGTGTGTGTTGTGAGACGAGTAGTTGGAGGAATGAGAGGGACAGGAAAAGTTGAGAGGAAAGATGAGTGTTGTAAGAGGGACGCCGCGAGAAACGAGAGGGATGAGGGGTGTTTATGAGTAAAAAATGACCTTATGAGCAGTAAAGGAAAGTTTGAGAGAATTTTAAGTTTAATAAGAGGAAAAAACCGTATGGAATAAGTGTCTGTGAGAAGTGAGAGGGGTCTGTGAGAAGTGAGAGGGGTCCGTGAAGTGTGAGAGGTGTTTATGAACTGTGAGAGGGGTCTGTGAG